TTTCCCAGGATCAGTCCAGTTTCCAGCCACCTCTATCCAACAGATTTGTGCCACAGTAATAGTGTCAACACAAATTGGCTAATTCTTCTTGCAACTCTTTCGCACCCCTCTGCTGTGTTACTCAACCTGAAGAAACATGATCAGACAGAACCGGTACCTTTACTCCCATAACCACCAGAGTGAGCCAGGCTGCCTCTGTAGTGGAAAGGCAATTAAGGACAGGTAAGTCATACCTCCCTCTGAACCCTGGCACTGTCCAAATCTTAATCCCTCCACCCTTGGGAGCAAAAGGTAATAAAAACCTTAGCTGCTATTAAGCCCTGCAAGCCCATACCTGACACTCACCTACACAGAGGTACATCTTTCAGGACAGCATCGGAGAGGAATACTTTGCTTGCCAGCATGCAGCTGTGTGGATCAACCCCTACAAGAGAAGGGAAGGGAGAAAACCGTACAACAGCGACGAGCTTTCTGCAGTCGAGGCTCCCTGATGTGCAGCAGGGAAGCAGATCTGCAGGGCTCTTGGTTTTCTAAAATGCACAGCTATGACAGCACCAGCCCATACAAAAAGCTTTTCTTCTCTCACCCTTGTTTCCACCTCTTTGGATCGTTTCCGCAGCTCCTAAATTAAAAGCCTAGAACAAAATTGTCTCTAAATCCTTCGAAGAAGGATGAAAGGGGAATGAATTAGGGTGCATCAAATCTAAAGAATAAAAACTTACTTCAGCTACCATGGATCAGTCTCCACCTGCAACTGTGACCATACCTTTCATTCTGACCAATCCCCCCAACCTGGCTCCTACCGTCCTGTCATCTTAACATTTTTCAAGCTAACCCTTTTCTCTTGAAGCATATCCTCCCCAGCTCACTGTCAACACACCATTTCCACCCACCTGACTTCAGTCTGATTTTTTTAATATATTAACCACTGCTCTACTGTACGTATGCCCAAGAGAAACAGAGAGCACGGGGCAGCTTTTCTGACACAGGGATAAGAAACTACAGGAATACACCGAACTCTCCCCAGGCTGTCCAATCCTTCCTTCCTGTAATATTTGGTACAGAATTTTCCCTACCAAGTTTTGCACTGAGTTGTTCAGATACAACATCGATAAGCATGTTTCCTTGTTCTTCCAAGTTCAGTTCAAGAGGCTTTAAAGGACACTCGGACCTGTTCTTCCCGCAGGTGACTGGGACAGAGGGATCAGCCCATGCAAACTAGACATTGAAGGCTGCATCTCTGATTCTGATGGCTGAAATCCAAATTCTCCTGGGGAGACAGAGACTTAATCCTAGGCTTAACAGTTTATACTATAAATACGCTGAAAAACTTCTCAATCTATTCCCCTCCCTGTGCCTAAGATCTCCAACACTCTGATTTACATATTGCATTTTTTTCCATAAAACCCAAATCCAGAATCAAGCTTTCAGGATTATATGCCTGAATGCCTGCGTTAAAGAGGAGTGACTTGTCACGCCCTGTCTTCCATGAGTAGCAGGGTACGCAGCACCTCTGAAGACAGCCACTTATTTAAGCTCCAAGATCTGTTTATAACTCAGGGAGCCTAAAACCACTGAGATCAATAAGAATTTTGCTCTTCACTTCAGTGGAGCCCAATCAAGCCAAAAAGACAGACATGAACATAAGCCAAAATCCTACATTTCGTGATGCTCCCCATTGAACACACCATGGTTCTAGCAAGTATCTACATAGGAAGCAGCAGTGAGCTCTTCCCTTCGCTCCAGAAGGTACAAGACGGAAACAACAGCAGTTATGCAAGAGAATAAAATCTGGCCAGAGTTAAAGATACATCCATTAGTCTGTAGGGTGCTTGCAACTCTCAGAAGAATCACATAAATGTTCTACAATTTAAGCTGGACATTCAGTGGCCGTTTTGGTTTTTTGTTTGTTTGTTTTTGGTTTGGGATTTTTGGTTTTGTTTTTATATATATTTTTTTTAAACTGTTTTCAACTATGTCCTTTGTTTCTAGAAGTAACTAGAAATTTGCATAGTAACTATATCCACATCAGGAAGTCATTCCAGTTCCTGTGATCAACTGAGCAAAGGAAGACCTTACTTTTTTTTTTGAAGCAGCACCCCTATGTTAAAAGAAATGATTTCATGTATTTTAAAAGACTGCTTCTTCAGCATTGGGTCTATTTTTACACAACAAAATTAGTAACAGCTTGCTTAGTGTGAAACCACAAGCATACCAGATGAGGGTGGAAGAGAAATAACTTGACTAATAACATTATATAAGGAACACAAATGGGTTTATGGTCAACATGGGAGCTTTTCAGTCTGTTTTACAGCCATCACCTTGACAAATTCCCGAGCCAAAATTTTAAGCAGAGCTTAAAATAAGTCTATATTTTAATAAGCACAAGTTTGATCCTTGGAGCATGCTCAGCTGATATGGACCTTGTACCACAGCCCTTGCTGTTTGTTTAAAGCAAATCTGCCATGTGACACCGATAAAACAATTATGAAACATGTACAGTGTTTTCAATTTATTTTCTGTCCCTCTACCACTCCCAGTTTGGTGCAGCTACCAATGAACCATGGAAGTTTGTGTGTAGCCACCACCATTCCTACTCCAAATCCTGGAACTGGCCAAGGAGCACACCCCAAATGTTCCACAGCCCCAGAAACAAGGAGGAACTAATCCCACTGTTTTCATTTTTATCTTTATTCCTGGTTAAATATGAAAATGCCCAATGGATATCCAAAACTAACACAACAGGATGGTTGTATAGAACATCACAAAAAAGACAGCAGGGCCTAAAACATTCTTCTGCCGGAGAATATAGTTACTACTCAAGTGCACAGTGCCAAAATATCCCACTTCAAGGGCCAAGGAAAGCCCAGACAGACAGATCTCCAGCATAAAAGATAACAACAACCTACTCTTCCTGGTCATCTGATTTCTAGGAAAGCAGACAGAACAAATGAATCATTTTGTAGTTTTATTATCCCCACCCTCACTTCTCACAAATGGACTATGACTCGCATTGAGATCTCAGTGCATTTCACAGCAAAAAAAAAACACGTACAAGAGGATCAAAATAGTTGTGCATAAACCAAACTTTTTTTTTTTTCCCCACAAATAACAGTTTGTGTTGAAAGTTAACATGGTTATTTTTAAACCTTCTGATGCATTCTTACACTTGTATCTTCTCCATGGAAAACATCTTACCAGATCACACAGTTGTGAGTTCTCATGATGCTGGATCAGGTGCAGCCATTGCCATGGCTGGGAAGTGGCAGATAATGTTATATACACTGATTGGAAGACTACATCAGAAGAAAAAACAGATTAAGGCACCACTGTTGGAAAAATTAAGGTAGCTTGTAGTTACAACAATAACGAAAGCCATAAGTACTATTCTTAATTGCCAGCAATTCTTAGACCTCAATAAAATAGTTATAAAAAAAAAAAAGGATGTTTGTACCTGAATACGGTTTCCTGATATCTGATTGTGTTTCAAATCAATACCCAGTCCTCAGCATAATCAGTTTGTTTTTGTTTTTGTTTTTTATGGTAAGATGAAAACACAGGACCTACAGTCCATGTATTCACAGGTCATATTTCACTGCTTTGTTCTGAATAACACCACAGGAGAAAACCAAAACAATCCAAAGGACAGTTTGTAACACTGATACTTCACTTCTGAGATGATTAGATGATCAGAGAAATTTAAATACAAAATTGTAGGTTTTCTGTTCATTTTGAAAGCCCTAGTCCTCGGGAAGGGAACGTGGAGGAGAAAAAATAAAGGCAAAACCTCATTACACTATAACATGAGAAAAATTAAAGTCACTCAAAGAGATTTAATAAAATTAGGAGTTGAAAAGTGTTCAAATTACTTTCCCAATTCAAGTCAATTATTTCAAGTATATTAAAACGTTTCAGAGGAAAAATTTCTCCATGGTTACAATTCTAACTGCTTTTATAAATCCATAAAAAAGAAAGGTAGTGTCTACATTATTTCTCCGATGCATGCAGGCGTTCTCTCTGAAGAAAAAAGTCATCACGATCCAGTTGTTCATTAACACTGATTTCAGGCACACCTTCCAAATACCCCTCCAGTTTTCGCCAGAAAGGTTGATCACTGGGCATAAAAGCAGCAAATTTTTGTTGCTGTTGTCTACATGGGTACTGAGCAGGTTTCAGTTATTAAAGAGCTTGACACAGATTCTGAAAAGAGTTCCCATGTCACTCCAAACAGTTCCTTCTTCTCTTAGGCAGCTTTTGCAATCAGATCTACTTAGAAGAATCTTACACAATTCAGATAAAATCTCTTGGATCATACAAAAAACAAGTTGGTTGATGTACCTGGCAAGTTTGTCTCTACAACTTTTTTTTTTTTTAATAGCTTTAAAGTGCCCTAGTATATTTATTTCTTTATGTTCATTTAAACTTTCACAATTACATAAAAAGGGGACACTCAGCATGATTACTGCGTTTTGAGAGACAGAGGAAAAGGAGAGGAAAATCAGAAAACTCATCTTAAAGCAACTTTTCTAGTTAGCGTCCGCTTGCTGAGTTTGCGCAGCAGAGACTGTTTTCCAGAGGGGTTTATGATAAACCCAGCCATCTCCCTGCAATTTAAAGAGAAAATATGGTTATAATAAAGACACTGCCTGGGAGAATACCCTTCACACAACTATTAGACTGATCGCTGTGAAAACCAGAGGAACATAGCTTATACACTTAACTCCCACAGATTAAAACACAGAGACCAATGCTGCAGGCTTCTGAGACTACCTTGGAACACATACGGACTCTTGCTGAGCCACAGCACTCTCTGGAAATCGACTGCACTTGTAATTAACCCAGATGCCAAGCCACTCTTCTCAACTCCATGATCCAGATTATTTTAAAAAGCAAAAAAAGAAGCCAGCAGAGAGGCAGCTATCCAGAATTAGCAGCTCTAACACAGCCCAACTGTGCACCCAGAAGTGAAGTAGCTCAGGATTACATTTAAACATTTTGAGTAGATCTGTCTCTCAGATTAGCAACAGAACTTCACCTCTTAAATCTAGATACTAACAATACAAATACCTACCACCTGAGCTAATCATACTAATGTAGCTTTAGAGAATTAAAAAAAAATAATTTATTGGAGCTAAGAGATAGTCCTGAACTTTAAAAAAACAGAACTGGAAAAAAACCAAGGAGAAAAAAAAAAAAAACACACAAAACAAAGCCCACACTTTTTAGCCTATGTTTTCATTCTTTGCTAGATCACAGATATGGGAAGAAGAAGAAAAGGGAGTTACATTACTGCAGTTTAACAGATAAAGCTTTCACTACAAGGAGAATCTAAACTACTACAGCATAAATTTTACTCCTACAGCCTCCTCTTGCAAGAGGTTCAGCAAAACTCTCTACACAAGCAGGCTGTCATCATCTGGATCACAAGGAAAGCCCATTTCAAAGTTATCACACCGGTAGCTCCCAACCTTCCTGGGCAGGCTGCAGTTCACCTTGTTAAAAGTCTTACTATATTATTATTACTACTATTACTGAAATACAGGTTAAGCCACTGAACAAGTACGTTCCATCCAAACGTAAGGTACAAGAACAAAAAAGTGCCAAGTTGAGAATGAACTCACGTTCCTTCTTGCTAACAGTAATATCTTGGGTTCATATGCACACAACATAAGCAAAATTAGTACTATTGCTTATTTTCTTTGGGCATTTACTGTTATGGTCTGCTTACATGTGTACATATAAAGCACGTGTTTTCCGTGTGCCACAAGGAAATGCTTGGTAAAGGAAAGTAGACCACGAAACAGGCAAACATTTTGTTGCAAGGGAATCACAAAATCGAAGTATTTGGGAAGTGAAAGGTAAGTCACATGTTTACATGTTTGGGAGTGCTTCTGTCACCTTACTCCTATGGATCCCGTGGAGCTAAACTATAAGATCTAAGGCCAAATACTCTAATCTGACAGGGCACGGACCCATATGTGCACCTGCTTTCATTGTAGCTCTGCCTCTGCCTTCATCAACAGCTAACTGCTTGGGAACTTACTTCTTTAAGGAAGTATTTAGTACACCAAGGTGTTTCTGTTTCAGCACGAAGCCTCTCTTCATTCCTCTGTTGTTCTTCAAGGGCTCGTTTGTGCTCTGTAGCCTTATCAATGTCTCCATCCCGCAGAGACTCTGTTACATGCTGCCACAACCTCCTACAAAACAAATTGTTAACTTTTCAAGATTTTTCTCAGCCTGCCACCTCGAACTACAGGATCACCCAGGCACTTCTTTCAGAACAGGAGCACTCCCTCCGCTTATACATAACAAACCAAGCCAGGGCAGAGCATGATGGTGCAAGCACAGGTGGAAGGGCTTACGGTCGAGTCTTATACCTATACTAGCAATTAGGAGCAGATAGGAATGCCTCTGAGGCTTTGGCTGTGCCAATCTAATGTCCGTTTGTATATCCTTTGAAGTCGCTATAGAAGTGTTATTCAACAAGCAACATCTTGTGAGGATCTCCCTTGTCAGGAGCTGCCCCGCTGAGCAGCTGATGGTGAAAACCAAAACAAATAAGGAGGCTCTGTTCTAGCAGGCACTTTATGAACTCAGAAGACAACTCTGTCCATGAATAAAAGAGACAAGATAAACCACCATGTCCCTGCACTTGTTTTTTGTGCTTTTTATAATGCCCTTGTTTTTTGGTTTTAATAAAAAATTAGGATCGCTGCTGCTAAGCACTGTCCACAAACAATATCACCAGATTGCTTAGGACAAGAAGGGTCAGACAATAGTAAACACATAGTCTACCTTGATTCAAACGGTCCTTGTTTCTCAAGGGGTCGGACTCGTTTTCTTGTCACAGACAGCTTTGTCAAGTCCACGTATTTTGTCTCCCCATTGCTGTAGGTGAACTCAAGTACGCTGTTCCACTCCCCTTGCACTCTGCACACCACTGTGTTCGTCATGTTCTGCTTCACTTCACCCGTGACTCTAGGAAAGCAATTTATTTTTAAAAGGCCATAGCTGAGGACACTTGAGGACTATTCCTTGCATAATCATTCAACTTAATTCTGAATAAGTTTGCAAACTTGTCACACTGTCTTGAAAAATGTTAGTTACTTGAAATGCATTTGCATGGAGAAGCTCAAAGAGCAAAGTGACTTTCAGTCATTGCTCTAGTTCTCTTCATGTCACCCAGGAAACTCCATTTTTGGTTTCAGCTTAAACTTGTTTCAAACCTTGTAAGGAAATTGAAAAAGAAACTAACACAGGTTGATTCACAGGTAACAAGCAGTTAATCATTTCCACTTGAAACATCACATCAGACACGTAGTTCAGACTTAAAAAGTAAAAATATAACTTTCTAGCAAGAATGTATCTCACTACCTGCTGGCACTTTATCTCACATCTTTTCATCTCAATGTTCTCCACATGTAGGTGGTCTCATTTTTATGTTGCTCACATAAGCAGCAGACACAAAGGCAGAAAGCAAGGTAGGAAACTAGGAATTGGGAGAACTGCTTTTCCTTCCTGTCTCTTCCACAGAAACCTCTGTCAATAACAAGATATTTAAAATGTCTTTCTAATATGCAGTATTTCATTCAGTGTTGCACAGATGCTCAAGTATCACCATAATTACACACACTGATGCATATTTTTCTTCTCAACATCAAGACCTGTCCAAAGATCTCCTGACACTCACTTCATCCTGAATCAAGGAGTGGAAGCTTACTGAGCATTACTAGGCAAGCAACTTACCACTCTCAAACAGAACTTTTCTCCTAGAAAGAAGAAACAAAAGGGTCTGCACACTATGTAAACAAGACTTGAGACATTTTCACTTGTAAGGTGCTGCAGGATCCACAAAGGACACTGTCTCCAGCTCCAATTAAATCGCAATTACCTGTACACAAGCTCTCTCCAACCCAGCACTCTCCAACCCCCCCACATTTCATCAGCGCTCACACAAGGCATATGTTACATTGCCTTTCACGCTCACATTATGTGCAGCTAATAACAGCTAACTTGCACACCACTGGTTTGCTCATATTTCCTTTGAACAACTGCACACAGAAGAGCGGAAAGCAGCACTTCTGTGCTCCCACCTTGCCCACACTGGCTGCGTGGTCCCATGCTCAGAGGAAGAAGGGAGCACAGGACACATAGATGCCACTTCCCTTCTTCCACATGCACCAGTCACTTCCAGCTGTGTCTGCACCTACATGTCCTCCCCGAGTCTGGCATCAAAACAGAGAAATTAATTTCTCAGGCAACTAAACAGGTATCACAGGCCAGACCTTCCAGCATAGAGATACTGGATGCCATTCAAATCAGACCTGTGGGGAATCCCCAGGGCAAGTGGGGAAAGCTCGCAGCCAGCTCAGAGCAGGCAGCAGCAGCCAGGGTTTCTGCCACATCTTGCACATGTGAGACGCAGCTGGAGCCACATCACGGTCCAGCTTCATTTGACTTCATTTGAAAGATCTTCCAAAAAACCAGACTGGTAAGTATATGCTGCTCACACACAGTTTTCTATTACAAAAATTTAAGATTCATTCAAAAAGGCAGGCCAGAGTTGGAGCAACATGAGCAATAAAAGCACGTTTACATTGAACTATTAAGCTTTTTTGGGGGGTGTAAGTTAACAAGCACTAACAGTTTCTGAAAACAACTGAAAGAGTAGGCGACAAGCAAGCAGCCTTCATTTTGTGCTGCTTTTTCATCCTGTGACTTCCACACCTCACCAAAGCTATTACACGTGGTAAAATCCCTGTTCTCCTCTCAAGAGATCTCTGAACAGACGGAAGCCACAGGATGCCAGTGACCAGCCCGTTAAGACTTTGCAGTTACTTCTTCACAACTTCAAGAGCTTAATTTTTCCAAGCGTTGTGTGGTTACAACAATACTGACATCCAATATTTTAATATCAATTACAAAATTACTGTCTCTGCTCAGCTTAAAGTAAACAAAGTTATATCACTCACTGCCAAGGCGTAGTAACAAGCTGCTACATTAAACTCATTGCAACCTGTGTTTCTTCAAGTTACATTGCTCTGCGACACACAACCATTCCCAGCACTGCAGATCATAGTATCTGCCTGAAATAATACTAGTGATAAAAATCTGCCAGCACTTATTTGTAAGCTTGGCACGATTGATATACGCTTAGCTGTTCGTTATCATCATCCTCTGTTTCATCAAGCTAAAGATGTACAGGACCATAGAGCCAATATCCAGCTGAGGTCTAACAACAAGGGTCACTCCACACACACACACAAAAATCTATAACATTGCCATAGCAACTCACTTGCGCTCTGTGTAACTATGACAACACTACTGCTTCCCCATCAAGAGATTCTTTTGGCAACGTCCAACCACCATGTCAAATTTTCAATAGTTACAGTACCTTGAACAGATCTGTCTTTAAAAAGCCTCTACATCTCTGACTACTTTCAGAGAGACAAATAACAAAACAGTTTCACTGAAATAAAATTGCATCCTATTGTTTATTTTTTATGGCACAACAGGAGCTATTGCAAGATGAAAGATACATTGTAAGCAATGGAAAAAAATCTGAAGTGATGCATCACTTTAAAATTGTCACAAGTGAAACAGAGCTACATATAAGCTTCAGTTCTCCAGATGCCATTGGGTCAAGGGAGCTATGCTTGCAAGTTAAATTCAAAGCATGTATGGGAATTTATGGTGCAAAGTGCTTCAGGATGGGGGTTTTGGTGTTGGGTTTTTTTGTTTTCCTTTAAGCAACAAACTCAGCCTCACCCTACTGTTTCAGGAAAAGTGATTTAGAGAAAACTGGTGATTTTTTGTAACCTGTGGGAGCAATGCACATTTAACATCTGATGTTCTAGGCTGTTATGTATTTCATTATTATCTCTAACACATTTAATCTAAGAAAACTTTAAACAAGCACTGTCCAGTGAACTGTTGAGGGCAAAATGCTCTGGAATCAGATATTCTTTGTGCGACTACTACTTAATTTTCTCCTTCCTCAATTAATTGTCTCTATATTAGCACAAGGCTAAATCTGCAGCAGTCTTACTATAAAAATGTCTAAAAACATCAACATTAGTGAGTTTCAAAAGCTTTTGCACCAAGTGTGCAGACACTTCCTAGAACCTGCTAGAAGTAACCCCAAGCAAACTTTCCCTGGATCTTCTTTCTTTTACCTGTCAGTTTTCAAACATACATACACATGAAGTATTATCACTACAAGAATTACCATTTTTGTCTTTTAAAAAGGTATTTTTACTACAGATTTTCTGTAAGTTGATTAAAGTTGATAGTCTTATGTTTCTTACACAGAAATCTTAAGACCAGTAACAGGAGACTATTTAGTAATGATCCCCGCAGTGTAACTAAAATGCATGTTGCAAACAACATGCCAACCTTTAAGACAGCGAGATCAACCTTATTTCAAACAAAGAGCAAATCAAAAAATAGGAAACACTAACCAACTTCTAACGGAACTAAGTGAATCTGTGGCAGCCAGGAATAAAAGCCAGGAGCTCTCTTTTCCCAGTGGTTTGAACACAGAGTCTGACAAACATGGAACTTCCTTATTGCCTTTAAAAGTAACCTGATTTTTGCTTGAGGATCACATGAGATGCAGTTGTTTAGCTATGATACTGTTTAAGAGCATAGTAATAACTCAAGTGTTTATAAACAGGAAAAACTACATTTTCTGAGACTATCACGTGAGTATTATTCAGCACACAGAACAGGGGAGTTACACAGCTACTGCAGTTCTAGAGCACAGATTACATGGTAAAATATAAAAAAAACCCCAAGTACTCTCACCGATGCAATTTGCCACCATAGAAGGGCTTGGTGTGAAAGTTAATACTTGCAGAATACCCAGTCTTCACACAGTTAATGTTGACTTTTCCTCCCAGTTCTACCCAAGGAACGGTTAAAATTGACCGAGCATATGCACAGGGCAGAGAGAACGTGTATTCCTCTCCATGTTCCAAGAGACTTAAGAGACCTGTGTGAAGAAATACAAGAATCCCTAAATCAGCACCATTTTAGAAAAGACCAAATTAGTTATTGAAACAGATAGCTAATACTACATCTGACTACTTTTCCTCATAGTCCCTCACACCAAAAAAAGAAAAAAAAAAAGCCACACAAAAGTGACCTTTATTACAGATTCTAGATGCAAACATTTTCCTTAAAGTACTAACCTGAGTAACATGCATTTATGTTTCTTTTGGGAAAAGACATTTATCCTAATAATATCGCTCCATAAAGTACAATATTGTGCTATGCAACATACTTTTCAGTAGTATGTAAAAGGACTGGTCACTCTCTTATTGATGGTTCTGGAGCATGGCAACACAAGACTTACGCTGAGAAAAGGAAATAACAAATGAATACCCTGAACTACAGATCCTGAGGAAGGCTAACACTCCTGTTGTTTTCCCTCCCTATAATATATCTTACCCTATCTGAAGGCACGTAGCAGAGACAATTCACCTTACCACACCTCTCTGCCAAGATAAACACAACTCTTTCCTGACAGTAGCTTTTGCAATAAATGTCAAGAATCTCACTAAAACCTAGAACTTTGCTTTGGGTTTTAAGTTGTGTGGGTTTGTTTCATTCCTATAAAAAAAACCCCAAACAACCCACAAGCTCTACCTCTTGCCATTAAAAGAACATAGTATGACAACTGACTGCTGCCGGCATCAGCTCGTGCCTCTGTAGCATATTATCATGATGCATCCGACGTAAGTATGAAAAACATGAGAAATTCTAAAAAGTTATGACATGATTTGAGAAATGCCCTAGAAGAGATAGTAAATTCAGAAATTACCTGGTACAGCCAAAACACTGAGCTGTGCCTTCCACATCCCCTGCCATGCTCATTCCCTTGTCCAGTACGTAGTTTACATGCAAGTGCCTGGAATCCCCAGTTACTGGGCAATATACACAGGGGACACAGAATGGGAGATGCTGTCTCATCGCTTGCAGTAAATACTAGTACTAAAGGGAAATTACAGTTTAAGTGCAGTTACATTTCTCTGTCCCTAAAGGGTCCGGTTTCTCTAGTTAAAGAAAATTAAAACTTGCATACTAAGATACATGAAGTGCAATACATGCAAATGCAACAACACTTCTATTTAATAAGTGTCTGATGCAAATTAATTTCTCCGATACTCTGGAAACATTCATAAACATCAGTTTACATCACAGTAACTGCGCTTCGGTTTAAAAGTCAAAATTTTATTTCCAAATATAATCCTAACTTTTGGCAAAGCACAAACCTATCTAGTTTTTTTCCCCCATATGAAAACTTGCTGTTTATGAGGACTTGTAGTATCTTCTGTACTTTGTAAACAGTAAAAATAAAGAAATCACTGAATGATTGTACATTAAGGCCTACAGATCACAGATTAGAGGAAAACCAGAAGTACCTGAAGAAAATCTGAAAACCCACTGACATCTGCAAGCAGATTATTATTTTTTTTTTTTAAAGTCTTTAAAACAAAACTAACAAGCAGTATTCATCTGTATTTCTGCCAGAGGAATATAACACCAAATTTCCTAACAAACTAATAATATTTTAACAACCTTTTAAAATGAATAAAGGACAGAAGTCACACTTACCCTCACCAATCATTGTCACTCCTATTGACATTCCTAAGAATTTACTTTTTGTCCAGACATGGGCATTGACACACATCTTTCTTTCTATGCATTCAGCATAAAACCCTGAGACAGGAGGATGGTGGGACACTTGCTCGGCTACAAATTTTACTGTATAGTAGTCCAGCTCTGTTTGGCCTTCCACATCTTTAGACAGAGTTACTTGCTCTGAAGGGGAATGAGCAGAGAAGTTACTGCCGGCATCAGTGGCTACATCGCTCTTCGGCATCCTCCAGGAGCAGTGAAACGTTTCCCCAATGATTGGATTGTATGGTTTCTTTGCAATAGCTCCTTTGCGACCTTCGTGAAATGAAGTGAGATAATACTCAACAAAGCGGATCATCCTCTCCTCAGGGGTAGTGCCATTTGTGATTGCAATGAAGAGATCTGGATGGGACATGAAGTCTGCATACATCTCCAACAACGAACGCTTCTCTAAAATAAAAGTGGGAAGAACCACCTGAAACAAAAGAAAACCCAGAAAGCTCTAATAAGTAAAACAAAGAGACAGGCATTTTTATAAGACAAGTCCTCAGGTGGAGGATTCTGTCCTGTTTTGGACACCACACTTTCAGACTGAACTTTCTTGTCCCTCTTCTAAGATGTGAAAAAAATACAGTGATCAGAGGTCCCAGAAAAGCAATTTACAAGAAGAAAAAAGCCCAATAAGTACTCTTAGGAATAAAGAGGATGAAAAGGACTGAGCATCCCTCAAAAAAATATAAAGAGCTGCAAAGAGATAAAGTGTCCTGCATGTCTGTGGAGGAGAAAATAAGCAGGAAGGAGCTCAACTGTAGCAAGGAAGGTTCATAGCAGAGGTTAGGAAAGGTTTTGTCTAATGCAGAGAAAAGTAGGGAAACTATGCCAGTGCTCTTGAGAGCCTGCAGTCTCTCTCTTACTACAGCAACTAGGACAAGCATCCATGAGAAATAACATAGTATAGGCTGATCTGAGCAGAGGACCTTATACATTCACCGCTATAAAAACCAGTCCTGTCCTTTGCTGGGCTATGAGCAACACTGTGGAGTAAGAAGCTGTGAGATCATGTCTTTTTCTTCCCTGTAGTGGCAACTAACCTCACATAACTAACTGTTGTAAAGAGCAACACAGGGTGTCTCAACCATGAGATCAAGACAGTCCACTTAAATCAGCTGCATTCAAAGAGGTACAGCACAGACGTAAGACTCTTAATAGATATACAAGTCAAGCTGAATACACTTGCCATGTTGTTGCAACACCAACCTGGAATAATAAAGTTGCTTTTCACTTCAGTACCCTGATATTTAAGTTAAATGTGATTCTAACAACTTCACTACCTGTTTTGAAGTCAGGTTTGTTGCATTTCAATGCTTTGCCTGCTGTGAACTAAAGACAATTCTACACACACAGCCAAAAGTCACAACTGGGAGACAGACTTGACAATTTGTTCCAACTAAGAGAAAAAGATATATGGATTCAGTCTAAGTGAAGTAATGACTTAATGAATTCCTGATGAAGCAGCAGGAGTTTACATTTGGCCCACAGGCAGCAGGGCCTGTTCATACCACCTTTTTTTTCCCCCAAACTGGGAAATGTAAGCTCCACAATACAAGTGTTTCTAGTGGCCAAGTAGCTACTGCTCAAAAAAACATAACTTGAAAAATCCATAATTCCAAGAAAGTGCTTTCCTCATTCCATGCCACTGTAAAACCCATTTTTTCTTTAAAAGTGTCTAGTGCTTATGATAAGAAGTCTTTACAAGAATGAACTGAACATAAGCTGGTAGCAGCTTGATTTTCCCAGATTTGCGGCCCAAGGTGTCTAGTAGCAACTGAGTGTTAATTTTTCAAAGCCGCTTGCTTTTGAGATCTGCACTGAAGTGTCAAACCCAATTCTCTCCAGTATAACTTTGTTCCTCCTTGCTATAGCTGTGGGCAAACACAGAAATGAGAACAGGACAGAGAGGTGTAAACAGACCTCTGAGGACAGATAACGGAGAACCAAAATAAAACTTCTTTTCAAAAGCAGCATGAATACAGGTGTAGGGTTATGCAAGTTGTGTATAAGAGCATTATCAACTGAGAAAAGAGATCATGGAACGAAAGCACAAATACAAAACCATGAGAAAGCTGTAGAAAAGAGCATGGAAAGAGTAAGGTGCAAATACAGGAAAGAAAACAGGCCATTATAGGAAAGGCAACAAAAACATAGCGGAAAACACAAAGAGAATGTAATAGAAAAGATATGGCCAGTTACACTAAAGAAATTCCACTCCCTCAGCACATTTCACTTAACACCTGCCTCAAACTGCAACATCAGATCTTGGGACCTGAAGTTGCTATAGGCCACAATTTCATATTAAACTCAATATTGTTCAATACAGGAGCTGAGTTTAAAATGGCACTTTAACTGCAGCCAGTCTTCATGCTTCAGCTACTTACTCTTGTTAAGTCCATGCCAAGTTTCAGCTGAGATAAGAGATGCAAGATAACACTGCGCTGTTCTTCCACTGCTCCTAGATCATCTTCTTTATCATCACAGATATCCTCCAGCTCCTCATCTGGATTTATTTCTTCAGGTTCCTGGGATAAGAGCCATAAACATCAGCTCAAAGATGTGACTGGCCAGACAATATCCAAAAAGAACTTCATATTGTATTTAACTGTCCATGTACAAAAAAAAGACTAAAGAAACCCCTGCAGAGAGCTACACAATGGAATCTACCATGGAATCTACACCCAAGATAAACAACAGTTGAAGAATTTAAAGGGACATTAAGATAACTCAGTGCAGATTTCATCTAGAGGGTTCAGGTTGAGATTTCTCATCATCTCTCACAAAGGTCAGAGTTAAAAAAAAAAAAAAGCTGAGCAGCATCCTCCTGGTGCAAACAGCTGGAGGGGGGCAAATGCAGAGGGGAGAGGCACTGAATGCCACAGGAAGGCAGCAATATCTGTCTGCCTAAGCAAAGCCCTTTCTGCTGGAGCAGCTGCCCTAGCTCAAGGCAAATTTATGAACACTCAACCACCAAAACCAGGGGGCCAAGCCCTCACACAGAGCTCAAACCCTGATGAAAACTGCAGTATCACACAGGTGACTCCTTTCCAAGGATGCTATGCTGTTCCACTATCAAAAAAAAAGGGAGCTGAAAATATCTAAGGGGAGTGATAAGACTAGTCATATCCCAAATACATTAAGCACTTGAACTGTAACTCACTTAATTCCTTCCTCCTTCTAATAAGTTGTGATTTATTTGAAAGCTCCTAGTTTTTCTTTTTTTTTAATTTAGTAGCAACTACTCTGATCCATTTAAAAATCTATAAACTATAGCAACTGAAAAAAATCTTTTCCATTTCAATTTTGCTTTAAGATAGCACAGTGCTGTTGCAGAGACATACAACAGCACATTATCTTTTCACAATGATAGTCTCATCCAAACAACTGTGTGAAACCACCTAGTATAAAAAGAATGTAATTATGACTTTCTAGCTTAGTTCAGAAAACATGCTCTTTATCATAATCCCTGCCGGTTTTTTACTTTAGTATTTTGCACTTCAAATCAATTTTGACAGTTATAATGATACAGGCTGTATTTCAAATACATTAAGCTATCCTGAAGTCAAGTGATAAGAGTTGCTCAGACTAAGAAAAATAGATGCAGCAAGAGCTAGAAGAGAAAGATGAGGAGATTTAATAGCTGGAGACTGGCAATTTTGTCTTTCATCTGCTTAGGCAGTTCTTCTTGGGCCTATTTTGAGAGTGTCATGAATTCCAGTTAGGATTTTGCACTTCAATATCCACTAGTTTTAGATCAAAATGCAAGGGAATACTGCCTATTTCAACACCTTGCATTACCATCCCAATTGGCTCCCTCCACTAGTTACAGAAAGTAGCAAAAATTTATTGAAAAAGCAAGGTAGAAAGTTTCGTTTACTGCAATTGTACTCACTTCTCCTCCAACACAGCTAATCAAAAAGTGTGAGAACTGTCATAAAATCTTTTTCACAAAATACGAGCGAAACATTTACAGATATTCCTCAAAGTAATTCCCCACAGAAATGGGATGTTCACATTACCTTACCCTTGTTAGCTGGCAGGGCTCTGCAATGGACTGCTCTTCTCTGACAGATGCTGGCTTGTTTATCCCTGCTGGGAAATTCTGAGCCGCTCCATTTTTAAAGTGGTTTGCCAGAGATATCTTCGGTTCCAACCAACTGATCGTCGTTCCTGAAGCAAAAGAAAGTTTGCGCTGAAACTTGCTCATTCTCTGGAAGGTCAGTAAATAGCAGTTTTCACAAAAGAGCTATTTTTTAAGGAATAAGCTGAAAGCAGTCAATTCCTCCTGCAGCCAATCCCTCCAGCAGCCACTAAACAAAGGTGGTGCAATGAGACACCACCTTCAGCGATCATTAGCACAAACACCGCGATTGGCGAGCTGTAACACATGCAACTTGGACTGGAGAAACTAGTTGGTGTCATGAAAGGTGTAATCAGACACTACTGGAGGAACCCAGTATCACGGGAATGTTAGGTAACCCTTACAATTTTCTTTAACTGGTACCAAAAAAAAAAGCCCACCACTTATCAGCTTCTCAAACCCAGCTCAGTTCTAGACTAAAAAGAACTAAAGCAGAAAAAGTTTCATTGTGAGTGTTTTCTGCAGAAAGGGTACTTGTCTTTTCTCAGCTGCAAAGAAGGCAAGCACACACTGTTGAATAAATAATAGTTGCTAAAAAAAAAAAAAAAAAGCTGCAGGGCTTGGAAAGCTATTACCCACTTGATGATTCCAGCATCTCTTGTTACTTCCAGCTAATTTATCAGAACAGATCGAGTTCCTCATTAATAACACAAATGTTCCACTCTTTTTCAAAGGCTAATAAATGTACAGGTGTCTCCAATCAGTTTTTACTGAGAATACACAAACTGGCAAACCATCTCAGCCAGGAAACACAGAAATTATTAGGAAACCTGAATTTCTACCACCACACAGCAGTTTCCTGTGCCTAGAAACCTACACTGAGGTGTCTGTTGTCTCTTCCTATATGATACACAATCCTTTATTTCCAGACCTCTGTTACCTGGAACTAGGTCACATCCTCAACCACAACAGGCAGACTAAGCTTAATTCAGATACAGAGCAGCATTTCCCCCAGGAAAATACTGGGGCAGGAAAAAAGTCTGGCTTTACTAATGGGACAAGACAACTTTTTCCACAGTAAGATAGTTTATTTTCATAAAGTCTACTACTCATGAATCCATTACACAGAAAGAAACAAGAATCCCTCAGTAGTTTAAATTTAATCTATTTAAAAAGAAGTTTCAAAGAAGTCAAAAACTAAGATGTTCAGAATGTCACTATCACGCTTACCTTTTTGAAAAGGTTTTACTCATCTCTAAAACCTCTTCATGATACTTGCTTTCTGAGCTGTAACTTTAAACGTAATAATCTCTAATTGCACGTTCTAGGCTGCATTTAATCCACACTCACTGCCTCTATATTACCTTGAATTTAACAAGTAGCCTTCCTTTTATACTCCCTATCAGCTACTTCTAAAATAACCTTATTTATTAAGTCCTGTTTAATTTTCACTTTTAAATTCTAGGAGGTGTTAAGTGATTTGAACTCCTAGTTGTGTTTTAATCTTCGTGAATGGACGGGATACCACCTTAATACTTCTCTTCCACTCGAAGATCATACCCAAATCCGCTCTTGACTATTTTGGGTAGAATCATAGAATGGTTTGGTTGAAAGGGACCTTAAAGACCATTGAGTTCCAAACCGCCTGCGGTGGGCAGGGACACCTTCCACCAGACCAGGTTGCTCAAAGCCCCATCCAACCTGGCTTTGAACACTTCCAGGGACAGGGCATCCACAGCTTCTCTGGGCAACCTGTGCCACTGCCTCACCACCCTCACAGGGAAGAATTTCTTTCTAATATCTCAATCTAAACCTTCCCTCTTCCAGTTTAAAGCCATTGTCCCTTGTCCTATCACTCCATGCCCTTGTCAAAAGTCCCTCCCCAGCTTTCTTGTAGGCCCCTTTAGGCACTGGAAGGATGCTCTAAGGTGTCCCCGGAGCCTTCTCTTCTCCAGGCTGAACAACCCCAACTCTCTCAGCCTGTCTTCACAGGAGAGGTGCTCCAGCCCTCTGATCATCTTCATGGCCTCCTCTGGACTCACTCCAACAGGTCCATGTCCTTCTTGA